TCGACCAGACGGTGCGTTTTCCGCCTCAGGACCAGTCCCGAATCCCAGCCCAAATCCCGAATCGTCCGGCTTGGAAATGATTTAGATATTTGTGGTCATCTTGGAATTTGAATGCCGTCTTGAGACAATGGGGGTCTTCACGATTGCAAGTGAGCCAGAGAAAGACATTCAAGCACATTCTGGTCCTGCGGATGGGGCCGGTTTGGGCCACGACGCCATATTTGGTCAGATGTCACGACACGACCCAGCAGTGCCAGGCCTCATCGTGGTGGCCCCCGGCAGCGTCTGCTTTCGCCGCGCCTTCGAAGTGCCATTCGGGGCGCTCGGATCCAAATGGCGGAGTTCCGCGCCTGCCCGCTGGCGCAACACATCCTTTGAGGCGCGCCCCGCCGATCGTCGGTGCGGCGCGGCAGCACTGGCTTGCGCGGGCGTGTTGGCCTCCAAGTGAGACCCTGACGCCGCGCACCCAAAGGTCGGTCGAGCCCAGGGTCGCTCTGAATTACGTCTTCTTCCCTACCTGCACGCTCCTCGTCAATCCTCGGTCCTCGCTCCTTCCTCCTTCCTCCCACGCCCTCCTTCCCTCCATCCAGCCGTCCGATGTTCCTCGACGCCTGAGGTTATGCATTGTAGGGGGCTCCAGAGGCTGCAGGGGACATCCAGAGTTTTCCCGAGGGCTTCGAAAGCGTCTGGACCCAGCCGCCGGAGGCCTCCAGAGGTCAGCGAAAAACCATATGAAAGAGCGCGCCCGCATCGCCGGGAATGTGGATAGGGGGGCCCCAGCTTCAAGCTACCTCTCCCTCCCTCCCTTCCAAAAGGGGGGGGGGCTTCCGAAGCTACCCCCCCTCCCTTCCGTAAGGGTTTCTACGCTAGGGGGGCCCGGGGGCCCTGGCTAAGGAAGGGGGGGGGGTCGAAACTATCCCCCCCCTCCCTCCCTTGTCCGGAGCAAAAGGTGAGCCCGGGCTTCCCTTTCAAGGGGGGGGGCTTCGGAAGCTACCCCCCCTCCTTCCTTTTTTGGTCTGGACACGGGGGGGGGCGGCTTCAAGCTACCCCTTCCCCCCTCCTTTGCAAGGGGGGTGGGATTCCGAAGCTACCTCCCCCCCTCCTTTCCGGAGCTCTGGCAAATTGCGGAATCCCTGACGACAGGTGTGCACCGCAGCGCCAGATAACGCATTGGAGAATAACGTCGCCCCCTGGTTCGTTGTTGTTGTTTTCTTGCTTTGTCGGCCCTTGGTTCGTAGTCTCGTTTTCTCGGGCCCTGATTCCTTTTATTGTTTTATCATTTTCTCGGCCCGTGGTTCGTTTTCTTGTTTTCTCGTGTTTTCGGCTCCTGGGTCGCGGTCTCGTTTTCTCTGACCCTGGTTCGTGTTTTCGTTTTCTCGTTTTCTCGGCGCTTGGGTCGTGGTCCAGTGTTCTCGGACCCTGCTTCGTTTTCTTGTTTTCTCGGCCCCTGGGTCGTGGTTTTGTTTTCCCGGACGCGGGTTAGTATTCTCGTTTTATCGTTGTCTCGGCCCCCGGGTGGTGGTCTCGTTTTCTCTGACCCTGCTTCGTTTTCTCGTTTCCTCGTGATCTCGGCTCCTGGGTCGTTGTCTCGTTTTTCTCGAACCAAGCGTTTTCTGGTAATCTCGGCCCTTGGGTCGTGGTTTCCTCGGACCCGGGTTCGTTTTCTCGTTTTCTCGTTTTCTCGGCCCCTGGGTCGTGGGTCGTTCTCGTGTTTCTCATTTCATCGGCCCCTGGGTCGTGGTCTCGTTTTTTCGGGGCCTGATTCGTTTTCTCGTTTTTTTTGTTTTCTCGGCCCTTGGTTCGTGGTCTCGATTTCTCTGTTCCGTTTTTTTGTTTGTTTTCTTGTTTCCTCAGCCCTTGGTTCGTAGTCTCGTTTTCTCGGGCCCCGGTTCCATGTAACGTTTTCTCGTTTTCTGGGCCCTTGGGTCGTGGTCGTGTTTTCTCGGACCTTGGTTCGCGTTCGCGTTTTCTGTGCCCTTGTGTCGTGGTCTCGTTTGCTCGGACTTTGGTTCGTTTTCTTGTGTTCTCGGCCCCTGTGTCGTGGTCTCGTTTTCTCTGACCCTGGTTCGTGTTTTCGTTTTCTCGTTTTCTCGGCTTTTGTTGTTTTGTCTGGTTTTGTTCTGGCCCTGGTTCGGGATCTCGTTATCTTGTTTTCTCGGCCCCTGGTTCGTGGTGTCATTTTTCCTCGGACCCTTGTTTGTTTTCTCGTTTTCTCGCGTTCTCGGCCCCTGAGTCGTGGTTTCGTTTTCTCTGACCCTGGTTCGTTTTTTGATTTCTCGGCCCCTGGATCGCGGTCCCGTCTTCTCGGACCCAGGTTAGGTTTCTCGTGTTCTCCGATTCTCGGCCCTTGGATTGTGGTTTTGTTTGCTCGGACCCTGGTTCGTTTTCTCGTCTTTTTGTTTTCTCGGGCCCTGGGTCGTGGTCTCGTTCTCTCCGGCCCAGGTTCGTTTTCTCGTTTTGTCGTTGTCCCGGCCCCTGAGTCGTGGTCTCGGGTTCTCGGGCCCCGGTTCGTTTTCTCGTTTTCTCGGCCCTGGGTTTTGTCTAGTTTTCTCGGCCCTTGGTTCGTTGTCTTGTTTTCTCGTTTTCTCGGTCCCTGGCTCGTGGTCTCGTCTTCTCTGACCCTGATTCGTTGTCTGATTTTCTTGTTATATCGTCCCCTGGGTCGTGGTCTTGTTTTCTCGGACCCTGGTTCGTATTCTCGTTTTCTTGTTCCAGTTTTCTCGGACCCTGGTTTGTTTCATCGTTTTCGCATTTTCTCTGCCCCTTGGTCGTGGTCTCGTTTTCTCGGATCCCGTTTCGTTTCCTCGTTTTCTCGTTGTCTCGGCCCCTGGGTCGTGGTCGTATTTTTTCGGACCTTGGTTCGTGGTCGTGTTTTCTCGGACCCAGGTTCGTGTTCGCATTTTCTCTGCCCCTGGGTCGTTGTCTCGTTTTCTCTGACCCTGGTTAGTTTTATCGTTTTCTTGTTTTCTCGGCCCCTGGGTCGTGGTTTCGTTTTCTCGGACGCTTGTGTGTTTTCTCGTTTCCTCGTTTTCTCGGCCCCTGGATCGTAGTCTCGTTGTGTCGGCTCCTGGGTCGTGGTCTCGTTTTATCGGACCCTGGTTCCTTTTCGCGTTTTCTCTGCCCCTGGGTCGTGGTCTTGTTTTCTCGGACCCTGGTTCGTTTTCCCGTTTTCTCTGACCCTGCTTCGTTTCTTCGATTTCTCTGCCCCTGGGTCGTGATCTCGTTTTCTCTGACCCTGGGTCGTCGTCGTCGTCGTCGTCGGTCGTCGGTCGCGAGTCGTCCGTCGTTCGTCGCCGTCTTCGCATGACCTCGTCCTCGTCTTGACGACCACGACGAGGTCATGCGAAGACGGCGACAATGACGGCGACGTCGGCGACAACGACGACGAGGACGACGACGGCATCGTACGAAGACGTCGAGCGACGGCGACGGCAACGACGACGGCGACGGGGGAGGAACGTCCGGCAGGGGGAGTTCAAGGGAGGGGGGTGGTAGCTAAGCCGCCCCTTCCCTTTTGGAAAGGGGGGAGGGGAGGGGAGCTTCCGGCAGGGGGGAGAAAAATGAAGGGAAAGGGGGGGGGTCCCGCAGAGGGGGGTCAAAGGAGGGGGGGGTAGCTAAGCACCCCTTCCCTCTCGTAAGGGGGGGAGGGGGGGGTAGCTTCCCGGGTGCCGAAAGGGGAGGGGGGGCTGCTAAGCCCCCCCCCCCTTTGGAAAAAGGGGGAAGGGGGGGGGTAGCTTCCGCAGAGGGGGGTCAAGGGGAGGGGGGGGGGAAGCCCCCCTTTTTTCGTAAGGGGGGGAGGGGGGGTAGCTTCCCGGGTGCAAAAGGGGGGAGGGGGGGGGCTGCTAAGCCCCCCCCCCTTTGGAACCAAAGGGGGGGGGGCGTAGCTTTCGGCGGAGGGGGGTCAAGGGGAAGGGGAAGGAGCTATGCCCCCCCTCCGTTCGGAAAGAGGGGGGAGGGGGGGGGGGGTAGCTTCGGAGTGGCGAAAGGGGGGGAAGGGGGTGGCAGCTTCAGGGGAGAGGCGAAAAGGGGGGGAGGGGGGGGGAGCTTCCAGCAGGGGAGGTGGAAGGGGAGGGGGGGTTGCTAGGGGGGACCCCCCCCCTTTGCTCCGGCGCTGTGGGCGCGCTCTCTCAACCATATTCATCAAACAACCTGCATTATCCTCTCCCCCTGAGTTCCGACGGCTTGGAAAAAAACACATCGTCGAACAAAACACGACTGTAGCCACCGACACAATATCTCTGCTTCGTCTGGCGAGCTGGATACAGTGGAGGCCCATGCCAAGAAACGCCCCGTTTGCCCCCAAGGTGCCGTGGGCTTCTTGGGTTTTGATGGTTTTGCTATGGAAAGCGTGGCGTTCCCACGCCAAGAAGCAGTGGACCTCCTGGGGCTTCAGGGTTGGGTCTCTTGTGGAAGGCTTCCTGTGGTCGAGCTCCTGCTGTAGATCGAGCCGAGCACTGCGGGCCGCGGCCCCTCGCTCGAGTCCGAGAGGGTACCGCGTGACGCGCGAGGGTGCCGCTGCCACGGCGGCGTGGGGCGTGCCAGACCGCCACGCAGGAGGAGGAGCAGGGGGCAGTTCGAGTAGGGGGAAAAAACACACGTGGGAACACACACACACACACACGTGTTTTATATATATATATACACAGACACACACACACACTGTGTGTGTGGACATCCGAGCATACAGAAGGGACGTCCGAGCGATGGCAAGTGGCGCCATGTTTCGGGCGGTGCTTGCCCCGATCCGTGGAGCTGGCTTCCGCGGGCCAGTTCCCTGGATCCGTGATCCACGTTGGCATGCGCCCGAACCTTCTCCTCCTCCTTATGGTGCCCCGACCTGCTTTACCCTTCACCACCAGGAATAAAATCGAGCACCAAAAAAATCATCGAAATAGTATATGTCCAGCACGCTGGTGTCGAGCGACAATTCCTGGGTGCTCGAAATTATTGCTGGGATGTGGTCCTAACGTACTATTGGGAACGACGTAATCCTCCTCCAGGTCATGCAGGCGTGCAAGGGCAAGCTGCTCATGACCCTCACGGAGGGGGGCTGTCAGTACCTCCTGGCCGGCGCGCGGGCAACGGCGGGCATGAAGGCGGAGCATTTGGTTGCCGCGGCCGCTACATAGGGAGGAGCCCAGAGAAGATGAAGCAAGGAGGAGGAGAAGGAGGAGGAGGAGATGAGGAGGAGGGGATGAGGAGGAGGAGGAGGAGGAGGAGGAGGAGGAGGAGGAGGAGGAGGAGGAGGAGGAGGTGGAGGAGGAGGAGGAGGAGAAGGAGGAGGAGGAGGAAGAGGAGGGAGGAGGAGGAGAGAAAAGGAGGAGGAGGAGGAGGAGGAGGAGGAGGAGTAGGAGGAGGAGGAGGGAGGAGGTGGGAGGAGGAGGGAGGAGGAGAGAGGAGGAGAGAGGAGGGGAGAGGAGGAGAGGAGGAGAGGAGGAGAGGAGGAGGAGGAGGAAGAAGAGGAGGAGGAGGAGGGGGAAGAGGAGGCGGAGGAGGAGAGAAGGGTAAATCCACGAGTTATCAACGATGTTGGAATAAACCCTCCCTTCAAGCTCCCTCTTCATAGGCCCCTACAGCGGTTCATCTCCACTGAGGGAACTGCCTCGTTGGAAGACAATTGTTTGAAGACCTTGATCCATGTCAAAAAAATGTTCTCGGGATTCCAACGCCACGGATCAACAGGGCTGTCGCGTTTTGACGATATTGAATCGTACCAGAACGCCATTCCTGGGACCTCATTGACACAGCGAATCAGCGCAACTGTTTCACCCGCATAATCCTGAACCAATCCGTGAAAGTCTTGTAATTGGTGTAAACGAATGTGAGCGGCGCTAGGGCGAGAGCCGCATGTTTTAACCATCCGTCCTCAAGCCGTGAAGTTCTTGCACCTGTTTAAGAAGAACATGCGCGGCGCTGAAGCGAGCGCCACAGTTTGAACGCCATCTGCCCTTTATCCCGGAAGCTCGTGCAATAGTTGTTTAACGAATGTGCTCGGCGTTCAGGAGAGAGCTACATGTTGAAAACCATCCGCCATCAATTCGTGACATTCCTGCACTGGTTTAAAACGTATGTGCGAAGCACTAAGGTGAGAGCCACATGCTGAAAACCACCTGGCCTCCAGTTGTGAAATTGTTGCCATGTTCTACGAGTCAGGACATACATGGTGAGGAACTTTCTGGCGAAACGCCCGGGCCGCCCTATGAACTTGCCTCGGGGTGCGACTGGGAGAAGTGATTCATACGGATAGAAGAGAGGAGGAGTGAGGAGGAGGAGGAGGGGCAGCAGGAGGAGGAGGAGGAGGCGGAGAAGGAGGAGGAGGAGGAGGAGGAGGAGGAGGAGGGGAGGAGAGGGAGGATGAGGAAGAGGAGGAAGACGAGTAATGACAATGGTATCATATAGAATTATCCCAGTGCGACCCTACCTAGGAGTTTGAGCCCCTAGGTCACCCCCTGGGTGAACCCAGGGGGCGCAACTGGGGGAACCGCGGGACGGGGACTGGGGGAACCGCCCGGGGCGAGTTGCACTGCCCGGCCCCATTTAAGAAAAAGAGCAAGAACCCTCTAGGGAGAGTCTAGGTAGGGAACTAGGTCCAACACTGCTCGCGTCTCCTGCAAGAGCTGCAGGCTGTTCAGCACTGCTTGCGGGGGCTCCGGTCCGGCCATCGAGGCTAGCTCGGCACCTGTCGCATAGTGTTTTTGCTTTGCCTTTCCTTTGCTTTGCTTTTGTTTTTGCTTTGTTTTGCGTTGCTTGTGCTTTGCTTTGCTGTTGCTGCTGTTGCTTTGCCTTTGCTATGATGCTATGCTATGCTATGCTATGTTGTGCTATGTTATGCTATGCTATTATATGTTATGCTGCGTTATGCTATGATATGCTATGCTAGGGTATGCTAGGCTGCGCTATGTTATGCTGGGCTATGTTATGCGGTGATATGTTGCAATATGATATGCTATGATATGCTATGCTATGCTGCGCTATGATATGATATTATATGCTATGATATGCTATGATGCGCTATGCTATGCTATGTTAGGCTATGCCGCACTATGTTATGCTGCGCTATGATATGATATGGTATGATATGCTATGCTGCACTATGCTATGCTATGCTATGCTATGTTGCGCTATGCTATGCTATGCTATGCTGCGCTATGCTATGCTATGCAATGCTGCGCTGTGCGATGCTAAGCTAAGCTGTGCTATGCTATGCTATGCCATGCTATGCTATCCTATGCTATACTATGCTATGCTATGCTGCGCTATGATAGGCTGAGATATGATATGCTGTTATATGATATGCTATGCTATGCTATGCTATGGTATACTAATGCTGCGCTAAGCTAAGCTAGGGAGAGCTAAGCTGAGCTAAGCTAGGCTACGCTAAGCTAAGCTACGATAAGCTAAGCCAAGCTAGGCTAGGCTAAGCTAAGCTAAGCTAAGCTAAGTTAAGATAGGCTAAGCTAAGATGAGATAAGCAACGCTAAGCTAAGGGGACGTAACTGGGGGAACCGCGGGGCGGATACTGGGGGAACCGCCCGGCGCGGTGTGCACTGCCCGGCCCCTTTAAGAAAGAGAGTAAGACACCTCTAGGCAGAGCCTAGGTAGGGAATTAGAGTATTGCTACTAATAACACCACGAAAAAAGAATACGAATACGACGAAGAAGACGACGAGGAGGAGGAGGAGGAGAAGGACGATGAGGATGAGAAGATGAGGAGGAGGAGGCGGAGGCGGAGGAGGCGGAGGAGGCGGAGGAGGAGGACAGAGGAGGAGAGAGGAGGAGAGTGAAAGAAGAGGAGGAGGAGGAGGAGGAGGTGGAGGAGGAAGTGGAGAGGGAGGAGGAAGACACACAATAATACTAACCATACTACTAGTACTAGCACTCAACACTATATTCATTAAACCTTTTCATCGTATTAATATCATTAAACGTGCTAACGCAAATCATATGAAACAGAAGAAGAAGAAGAGTAGGAGCAGGAGGTGGACGAGAAGGAGGAGGAGGAGAGAGGAGGAGGAGGAGAAGGAGGAGAAGGAGGAGGAGGAGGAGGAGGACGCGCATCCATCAGAAAGAAAACAACCGTGACGACTCATCTCAGGCAGCTGTCATGTCTATGTGCTGCCCCGTGTGGCGTCGGAGGCCGCTTCCTCGGAGGCCCCCCCCCCCGCGGGGGGGGCGCACGCCCTAGGAAGTCAAGGGACCGCCCCCCGACGACGGACGACGACTACGACGAGGACGTGGACGACGACGACGACGACGACGCCGACGACGACGACGACGACGACGACGATGGCGTCGCCGGCAAGATAATTAGTTAGCCCCTAGGGGGGGTTCTAAAGGACTTTCAGGGTTCAGATCGAGGTCGGTTCGCGGAGGTATCCTAGTGTTCTTCGAGTCTGTTGCATGTGTTTTTGCATCCTGGGGGAGGGCACCCTCAAGTGTTCTTCAGTTTGGCCGGCGGGGGGTCTCGTGTTCTTGAGGGGTGTTTTTCTGTCCTAGGTCCGACCGCAGTCGTCGACCAGCCTTAGAAAGGACAGGAATTGCCAGAATCTGCTTCCATCCTCGCTCTCTCGACTGCCAGAGTCCTCCTCCTTTCACTTGCCAGGGTCCTCTTCCATCCTGACTGCCAGAAGCATCCCTCGTCAATCCTTGCTCTCTCCCCCCTCGTCCTCGCGGGCGTAGGTTTCCGCCCGGCCGCATTTCTTGATCTTGGGCGGGCACTTCGGACATCGGCTGTCGTCCTCGCTGCATCCACGCGCGCTCGCATGAGCCTCAATTCGCCCCCATGCGACGTGGCCGCGGAGAGGCGTTAGCAGAACGAGAGCGCTGCGCGTTCAGAACTGCGAGGGAAGATGCGTGTTGATGCAGGCGTAACATCATGTGGCAACTGTGCTTCGTCGGCAGTGGGGGGGGCCGAGATGGGCCGATGCGTCTGGCTGGGGCGAGTGCGTTGATGATGATGCTGATGCTGATGCCGATGATGCCGATGATGCCGATGATGATGATGATGATGATGATGATGATGATGATGATGATGATGATGATGATGATGATGATGATGATGATGATGATGATGATGATGCTGATGATGCTGATGCTGATGCTGATGATGATGATGCTGATGATGATGCTGATGATGCTGATGCTGATGCTGATGCTGATGCTGATGATGATGATGATGATGATGATGATGATGATGAGGAGGAGGAGGAGGAGGAGGAGGATCAGGAGGAGGAGGAGGAGGATCCCCTCAGGAAAGGCCTGCCGGCAGCTCTGTGTTGCAGCCCCTGCTTGCGTCCTCGACCGCACACGCGGATGCCTGCTGGTCCTTCTCCAGGGACGCCCTCGAGGGCGCGAAGGTATTCGCGCTTCGCGCGTAGAAGGTTCGGCTCCGATTCCTCATCCTCCTTTTCTCCCCTGGAGGGGGGCGCGAGAGCGCGAAGTGATTCGCGCGAAGTTAGGTGCCCTTGCGTCTCGTCCTGCTCATCATCATCCTCGCCCCGAATCTCTCATTATCATCGACATGTAAGATAGCTTCGTGGCTTGATGCCTTAGTCGCCGAGGTTGCCGTCGTGCTGCGGTGTCCGCTGCAACTTCTCCCCTCCAGAAAAATCCTCGCTCCGTCTCGCTCTCCCCCCTCTGCATCTTCATGCGCACGCCTTGTTACCGTCTCATCCCCCCCCCTTCTCGCCGTCCCCCTCATCTTCTCTGGCGCACCTGTCCATCCTCATCCTACCCTTCCTCTTGCTCGCTCCTGCTCCCCCTCCCTATCCCCCTACAGTCCCCCCCCTTCTTCCATTTCCCCCATCTCGTCTTCCTGCCGCTCATGCTTCCCCCGTTCCTTCCCTCTTTCCTCCGCTTCCTTCCCCTCCTCCTTCTCGTCCTCCTCGATCATCGTCCTCCCGCTCCTCTCCGTTCTCCCAGGGCTCTGCCTCCCTCCTTGTGCCTCTCGTCCCCGTCGTCTTTCTCCTTCCTCGTCCTCGTCCTCCTCGCGTGCCCCCTTCTCCCTACTATTCCCTCCTGCTCCTTTTCCTTCTCCCCCCCACATCCCCCTCTTTTCCTCTTCCTCGGGGGAGAGGCGACACCACCACCAAGGGGGCCAC